CAAATTACCAGTGGGGCAACTAGAGAATGCATGAATGATAATGTACAGACAAGCTTTTTATTATTTATTCATAGAAAACAGTGGGTTTTGGTGTGCTGCTTTGAAAAATGTTCAAACTAGTAGAATATAATGAAAGCACAGTGAAAATTCTATTTCATTAACATTTAATCATAAATCGCTCTTTAATATAAAACATAAAATAAAAGTCTGTCATAAGCACTTAGGTGTAGAGAAAGGAGAAAGTCTGCAAAAAGGAGAAAGGAAATATTGCAGTGTTTTTCGCTGCTTCTGCTACTTGTCATTTTCAGAAGAAAAAAATAAACAAAGAAACAACAATCTTAAACCAAGCTCTCAGAATTGGGCATGAAGAAAATGCTTAGATATTTCTTGAAATCTTAATTTTAGCCAGCAAAAAGTATTATCAACACATAAACAAAGTAAAAATATTTTAGCATACTTGTGATAGCTGAGGAGTAGCATTTCCCATTCCTTCCATCAGACTTAGCAGAACTCTGTACTACACAGAAAAACAATCAGGACTTCCAAGCTCCACAGAAATATCAAAAGTAATATCTAATAACCTACTAAAGTAATATCACAAAATGTCTACTACCATGTTTATCTATGTAACAAGGCTATTCTCAAATTCCCTTAATAGGTATACCAGTGGTGCACAAATAAGTTCTTGAACACTACAGATCCTCAAGGCTTACAGAACATGAGACCTTTACAGAACATAGTAGCTCACTTCTCCTCTCAAAATCTCATCAGAGGTTTTTTACTCTATAAATACAATACAGAGTAAAAATACTTTTTACTCTATAAATACAAATGCAATATTATGCTATCAGCATTGATTTGACCAATCAAATAGATACAGAGGATGCAGGCCACTGAAGACAACCTAAATATCTCTGAACAAGAACAGAATAATTCTCCTTATCAAAGACCACCAGTCAGTGACAGCTATCTGCAAACTTCCACGGCTCTCTGATCACATAATATCCTCCTTTCCTCAAAACGGCTCCTTTAGCAGCTCTTTCTATAACTGACAAATGACAGTCAGCACCCGAGCAGAGGCTCTACCTGCAGCCCCTTACGCAATTCATTATCAGCAGCATTATCTGCCATTCCAGTCAGTGGCAGCTTGGTACCGCACAAAAGACTGTTGAAAAAACAGTAGGAAATAAGCATCAATTACACTACTGTCACTTCTTTCTCCTACCCATCATTTAAAATTCTGACAAATTAGCCACATAACCAAAAATCTTTATGCATTTTGCCATAAAACGAACAAACCACCCCAAACAGATCTCAAAGCACCTTCTCAGCTCCTTCACTCACTTCCCCAGGGTTGTGCAAACAGCCAGCTTTACAGCCTGCCCAGAAAAGGAGCATTTAGGCAGTACAGATTTTTCCAGAGGCGAGATTTTTTTTAAAGGAACATATCCCCCTCGGAGAAGGCTTCCTTTAAGCAATCTCCTCTGCTTTACACTCATGTGGATGAAGCTTAAAGCCTCTGTTGATCACCATTGAGTCAGGATGGTTGAAGAGAAACAATCCTCCAAGCAGGCAGGTCCCATGCCTGCTTTTTTTCCAGATAGAGCCCTTTGCTACTAGGTCTCCCTAGCAGGCATTCTTGTACTGACTTTTCAGCTGAACAGTATGACTGCGCATGGTAAGGAATTGACACTGTGGGCGTGAAATGATAAATTAGAGGTAATTGCTGAAGCTGTCATTCATGAATTGTGGGCCATTATCTCTTAATGCATCTGGAATCCCAGAGTGTGCACTTCTGATTTACCAAGTATTATTACATTGCTACACAGCATGTTGTGCAACAGTTCAATAGTGAGCGAATAGTGGTCTACAAATGAGATGCAAAACTTCGCATTTAATTTAAAACACGTCTGGATGAAGGGAAATCAGACATATGACTAAACCACTTGGTGTCAGTACTTCTCTTGCATATCGTTTTCTCCTGATTACCGCCGGTTAGTCTTGGATACTCACCTTCAAAAATAGCTTTGATTCTTATCTGAATTTAAAACAAGTTGGTCTATTTTTGTGCAGTTCAACCTAACCAAGACAATGTTGAATACCCTCAGTATTTTGAACTGTAGCTATCCTTAGCATTTCCTTTCTTCCATATCTTCTGAATAGATCTCAAGTGCAGTAGCTTAGAAACAAAATTTTATGCTTCGAGGAATGTGGATTATTTCTGTTGGTGTTTCATTTCCAGATACTGCTTCAAACATTTTGAAAGGGGAGTAAGCCTTCGGTTTGTAGTTGAATTACATTTACTAAAAACAAACTCTTAAATAAGTCCCAAATTAGTGATCAAGTTACACAAGCTTTAGGATTCTGTGTGGGTTTTTTTTCTTTTTCTTTTTTATTTCTTTTCAATCTTTGAAATGAGTCTTTGACTCCTAAATCACATCTGTTCTCTGTTAGGTCTCATCACGATCCTGGTTTGGAACTTACAATCACTCAGCACTTACTTCATATGCTTACTGCACAATTTAGATTACTTAACCTTACACATGGTGCTGTCAAAAACACTCCACCACCAGTCATGTCAGGTAGCAATTTCTTGCAATATATCTTTCCAAAGTAAGATGCCATTACACACGTAGATGAAACTACTCTTGAAATTTTGTAGTGGTTCTGTCCAGCAGCCTACCATCACCTTGAGACTCTCATTAGATTGCAGTACAGTCTGCTGATACTCTGTCTGGAATGGTAGGTTACCTCATTCTGCCTAGATCTGCTCTTCTCTTATTTATTTCCTAGAAATTCCCAACTAAAGGAACAACTTCCAGGTTTTGGACCTTTCAATCAATTTTGCATGTAATATGTTTCACAGAGACTTAATTTTGACAAGAGTGAAGTACACAGGAATGTTCATCAGCATATCTTCACATTCCTCATCATTAAGGAGTTCTTAGACATTCAGACATGTGAACAATCCAGTACACTTCAGAGGCACAGCAATTAGTATGTCCCTTTTTCATATGACATGGTTATACCCAGGTCATGTAGGTACTGATGCTGGCGGCTACTGTCATGCTTATCACATTCATCTTCCTATTAGACCTTAATGGTCTTTTTGATCATGATCATATAAGAAAATAACTTCATTAGGAATTCAGTAAGTTGCAGTACACGCCAACTTTGAAATTGACCACTATAATTTGACATAAAACTAATTTACAACAGCATAGCACAGACAATCACAGATATTCTTCATATTGACCTACACATTCCATTATAGGCTCCACTTTCATTTGTCTACATTTTAATCACGTTTTCCATTCCAAATTCCAAATTCCATTCCATTCTTGCTTTAGACTGGGAAAATTCAGCAAGTTCCAGATGAACCCAGAATTAAACTGCAGATTCTAGGGTCAGCACTGGTACTGTTCAGCAACGAGCTACAAATCCCAGCGATAATTGCCCCTGGTTTCACAGGGGCAATAACCTTCACCTATTGTTCCCAGCTGCTCAGTTGGTCAAAAAAGCAGAAATCTGCCTTAATTCTGCTATGCCACTGCTGGGTGGGGTGGGTGGGTGTCTGTGTGTGCGTGTGCATGTGTGTGTGTGTGCGCGTGAGTGAGAGGGATTGAGAGATCAACACCAACTTCATGTGTAAGTATTTTATGGTTTTTTTCTTACTCTCTGTTCTTTTAAAAGTTTAAAAGTGTAATACGATGTTTAAAAATCTCTACATAAAATGGGAGCAAAATTAAATCTCAGAAATTAGAAAAGGTGTTGTCCAAGTAAAAGGATATATTATTTTCCACAGGACTTTTGTTTGCAGCTGAAGTTGAAAGATGAGCAGTGAGCAAGTCCTGGGAAAGGGCACTGCATGGTTCAGATGCCTGAATACCATCCTGAAAAAAAAGGATTCAACTCACGTTTCTGCCAAGAAGTTCCTAATTGATGCTATGCAAGACAGTTACATGCAGCTTTCTCAGATGGTACCATCTCCTTTTGTCTGCTAACTGGCCAACAAGCTGTGATCAAATTGGCAAAAGGAGAGAGCTTTAAGAAGTCCCACAGGCTCCCTGGGAGATGGATTTTGAATGTCTGAGAAAAGGAGTACTTACAAGAATGTAAAACTTAGACTTCAGGTGTTTCTGCTTTTGGTGTCCAAGAACAGTGGGCATTTCTCAAATTTTGATCTTAGTAAAACAGTGTCCCAAACATGAAGTGGAAAAAAAACCATAATAAATAGCAATATTTGTTAAAAAAACAACAAAAAAAACAGATATCACAGAGATCAGCATCATAGGGAAATTTACACTGCAATTAGTTTCTGTGCATTCTGTGCAAGATTTCAATCATGTGCCATGAAAAATAAGGTCTTGTGTTTCAACATGAACAATGAGAATAAAATGAAATATTGAACAGCTGCTCATTCCACGAGTAACCTCCAATCCAGTGAAACAAACGATAGAGAAGTCCTGTGGAAAAGTAGTCAGCGAGTGTGCAATTACAACTCTTATTGTAAAGTACATGCAAAATGGCCTGAGCAACCTTAGTTTTGTGATATCTAAATTTCCGTTTAGTCTTAATGGATTTTTTTTAATGTAGGATTTTTTTTATTCCTGTAATTAGTAGTAGACACTACACAGGGAGAACTTCCTTCATCATCCAGGCAAAGGGCATGTGACAAAAGAACTATATAGCATTCTCAAAGCTCATTTGTATGGGGCTGGAATTTCTCACAGCCTGGGCTGCCATTTTTCCCACTTTATGTTCACAAACTCCCTCCTCGATATGCAGTAGCGTATGTTTGCGGTAGTGAGGGACAGATGCTCAATCTCAACAAAGATCAATGTGACTCTAGGGAGCATTGCAGCATCTTTTCTCTGATATTAGACTCCACTATCCTGAGGCTCTTTCCAATGTAGTGGTTTACCATGTTGCCAGTCTGTCTTTACGAGAGCTCTCTTTATCTTATTTTTTAAATAAGGATGTATATTTAAAAGACATACCTGTCCAATAATAAGAGGGACTACAACAGTCATAAACAGCTGTGAGAATATAGATGTAAAAGGCACAGAGGAGGATGATCCAAGCTACAAAACAAAAATAAACTATTAATAGTCAGCTTCTTAGAATCCGCAAATTTCATGCATGTATATCACATATTAATATAGCATTTGCTTTAAGTGTAAAAAGATGCAGGTGTGTGCACACATTCAGGTTCCAATAATGCATTTGGTATTCCATAATAATGAAAGTAAAGCAATCTCTGCTTGATTATTCTATCACCTAAGGTAACAGGCACATCAATATTCATTTAATTGAAACCCTGCTACACACATATGCAAAGTAAATCATACAAGCATTTGCAGTATCGTAGTCTAAAAAAGACAGGGAATCTTTCCATACATGCAGTTTGATCAACTAACCTTTCCATTTATACAGAGAAACAAACAAACAGAAAAACTGTTATACTTATTTTCAGACTATTTAAAAAACAGATAAAACCAATAATCAAGACATTATTTCAAAAACATTAAAAAAGACATCTTTTAACAGTTCTTGAACTCTGAAAATTAAATAGCAACAGGCTTTGTCTTTGAATAGGAAATCTCTTACAAATATATTTATGATTTTAAATGCTAAAAGTATTTTCTTAAAAGATGCATGAAGAAAAGGTGAACCAAATGAAGTCAGTGGGATTTTTCCAATTTCTAATTACTTCAGAATGTGTAGGACAATATGCACATTTCTTTATACTCTGACTGAACTTACTTTATAGCCAGTCAGAATTTTCATTTAACATCTTTTTAACAGTATTTGAAAATACATTAAAGAATGTATAGTATGAAAACTGAAATAGCATTGTCAGAGCTTCTGAGGAGAAACCATCCTGCAGACAACTGTTTCTTATCAGGAGTAAAATGGCCTATCAATGAGGATTTCACAAATCCGCATGGTTTTATCTTGCATTTCATTTTAAAAATCCACAAAATGATGACAGAATTCAGATTTTTTTTAGCTTCATCTAATTAAGTGATACTGATCTCTTAAAACATTCTCTCATACTTCATGCTCATAAATTACACTCACACTGCATTATACTTCTGACATCTATCTTCCTTTCAAAGCTACCTGCGGGCATTATAGACAAGGTGATCATACAATCTAGTCACATCTTGTAATTCTGCCTAGCAAATCAACATATGGCCATAAAATAGGGTTGGCATAAAAACAAAAAAAGAATCTTCATAAATTCGGAGTACAAAAAGAACAGAAATTTCACATACTAAGTATTTTACCTTGTATGACTACAACCTTTATCCAAAGAAAATTTAAAAACAAAACAAAACAAAAAAAGATATCACTTTTACAGCTTTTCAAACAACAATAGCCTTGCCAACTTTTTAAAAGCATTACTTCAAATGTAGTATCTTCAAGCTGCTAGGGACTCATAAACACAGACTATAAAACTATTCCTTTTTAAACACAAAATAGAAACTAAACTACAGATGATGAGATGCTAACAAACCCATTCACATAACAAATAAACTTTCCTGGGAGAGGTATTTTACTCAAAGTAACAATCTTCCACATCGGAGTAAGATTCACCACGTTGCCAACTTCACTGCCTGTGAACTTCACTCCCTCCCTCGCCTCCCCGTTCAGGCTCGCATCACTGTCCTCTGGCCCACAAAAGACGGACACAGACACTCTGGATAAATGTCTCTACCTGACTACATTTTAAATAAAACAAACATGAACACAGCAGACCAAAATGTCAATTCAAAGAAATGATTATGGTTGAGATTTTTTTGTTGGTGGTGGTGGTGGGGTTTTTTTAAACTCAAAGTCCACAGCAAGTGAGTTCTTTGGCTAATTCTGGTCTGCAGGAAAAAGAAAAGAAAAAAATCTTGAAAAAGTACTAATTTATGTTTATTTTAGATATTTTTTCCCAGAAAAGTTTTCTTTAAGTGTGTGCTATCCTGGACAGCAGCAGGCTTATAACACTAAATTCAAATAAAGACTATGAAAACTCTTTCTTATGGAGAAGAATAGACACCTTTCACCTAAATAATCCCAGTTCTTTCTGTCAGACAACTCACATGAACAAGAACTGCATCTTCTGCAAGTGCTTCCTGGATATGGCTATACAGAAAGTGAATTCCAAGCAAATCTTTCCAGCTCAATCATCCTGCAGTCACCATGCAGCACTTTCATACTTGACCTGCAGCTTGCTACTATAATTCTAGACCTCTCTTCACAAGAGACTGCCCATTTTGAAAACAGCAGACAAACTATTTAGTGGGTTTGTTTATAAGTTTGTGGCAGAAACACTGGCTTATCCTTAATTGATAGGTTGCATTTAACTAGTTAACTATTTAACTCGTGGTAGAAAAGATATCTTCCTTGCATAAAAATAAGACAATTCCACTTCCTTGCCTAGACCACCTCCACTAGCCAGATGCTCCATTCACATCATTCTGACGGACGGGGTAGGTATCAAAGCAGGGGTTTCTTCCCCAAGGATGTTCCCATTTCTGCAACTGCCACTGATTCAGAATAAACATGCCTCCTATCAGTCACACCAAATTATAACCCAGTGCCACATGTGCTGCCTATATTGAGTCCACTTCAGAGGCAGCTGTCCTTCGGGGCCCTGCTCTTCCAGCATTTCCTTAAATTAACATGTTTCCTCAGACTGTGTCTTTGCACCCTAATACATTATTAGCCAACTTCAGCCTTGCCTCTTGCTACACGGAGCCAGGCCTCAGCAGAGAAAAGGAAGCGGGCCTGTGGGGAGAGCACCGAACGGAGCGGCTCTTTTACAATAAGAAAACAAAAGATAAGCAAAAACATAAAAAAGAATAGGTCTAATAAAGAGTCTTGCTGTCTTTCTCTGTCTAGATTTATATGAAGAACATCTGAAGATGTTTCAGTAAGAACACAGCAAGGTAAACTCTTTATTAACCAACTACCAGGGGAAAAAGTAACTGCTCCTGGGACTGCTGGTCTCTAAGGGGTGCTGACATCGGGAGAGGAAAGGGAAGGGGAAGCACATCCCTGAGGATGGAGCTTCTGGTAAGAAAACAAGGAAATAAAGGAGGGAAAGAAAAGCACAAAAGATGAGAGACTAGGTGGTAAAAGAGAGATAGTAGTATAGTTTTTGTTACTTTTTCATGGGGAGATGCCTTGCACAAAAGATGAGAGACTAGGCTGTAAAAGAGAGATAGTAGTATAGTTTTCTGGTACCGTATTGTTACTTTTTCATGGGGAGATGCCTTAATAGACACTACTTTTTCGTGGGGAGATGCCTTAATAGACACTGATAAGTCTGAAAGGTTATTTATAGTCCTTAGTCCTTTATTCTCACTTCCAAAGCCACTGACCTTCAAAGGCAGAGAAAACTACGGTCACCAGTCTTTAAGTTGTGCTAAGCACTAAAGATTAGTCCATAGCTGCTGGACTGATTGCTGCAATCAAGCCCTTGGACTCAACCCGCTGACTAAACTAAGAACCCTTAGTTATTCAGGACTCTTGACAACACCATGCTATGTCCATAATTCTGACTGAGTCAGGAAAACAATTAAACCCGGGACAGGTGCAAAAAACACCTGAGAATTAATGGTTTGGTTTATGAGGAACAATTAGGAATGCATGAATTCTTTAACCTAGCGAAAGGATGTCTTGGAAAAGCGAAGGACTGTGTATGAGTCAGGGAGATAAACCCCAGAGAAGACATGCTAGCTAGAAGACATCTAGCTGTATGATAACACTGGCCAAAACAAAACGCAAATGGG